AGTGGGAAAACAAATAACAACTGTGACGGAGGAACTCAAGGAAAACATATACAATGTCAGTTCAGAAGAGGAAGAAAAAGAAAAGAAGGAAGAACACGAAGAAGAAGGAAAACAACAAGAAGATTTGATCGAGGAAAATGCCATAATAATTATTGCTGAGAATGAAAGGAAAGAAGATGATCAATAGGAATTCAATAACATGCTCATACAGACAGCAGAAACAGAGGGGTATGTGGATTGGGCAATTGAAGAAGTCGAGCCTTTAAACCATCACAACTTAGAGACAAAAGAAGACATGGAATTTGAAGCATCAATTGGGGTGCATCAGAACATCATCAAGTTGAGCAAAGAATTTGGGGTGGAATTTTGTGGGTGTGAGAGAGAAGCCTTAGAATTGTTTATGAAAATTGATAGTAGAAGAAAAGCAAACAAAGGGGGAGAAGTGTCTATGGTATGCCAAACACCTAAGAAAAAAGGATTCAAAGAGCTGAAGGGATTGGATATTGGAAGTAATTTCAAGAGTAATGGAACTAGAAGCAGGGGGTAGTTTTATTAGTCATAATCAATGATAGTGAATATATTATCATGGAATGTGAGGGGACTGAATAGAGTTAGGAAAATAAGGGCAATTAAAAGTCAGTTGATAAGTTGGAAGGCAGGGATTGTTTGTTTACAAGAATCCAAAATAGAAGGGGATATTAGGGAACTAGTCAGAGAGATATGGGACAGTAGATGGGTAAATTTTGAACAACCGGAGGCTAGTGGGACCAGGGGGTATTGTAGTAATGTGGGATGGAAGAATATGGAAGGGGGAAGTTTGTTGTACTGGAGCTCACACAATTACTTGTAAATTCTCAAGTAAGATTCAGGAATATACATGGCATCTTTCAGCTATGTATGCTCCTAATGACAGGAGAAAGAGGNATAGGGAACTAGTCAAAGAGATATGGGACAGTAGATGAGTGAATTTTGCACAACTGGAGGCTAGTGGGAACATGGGGTATTATAGTAATGTGGGATGGAAGAATATGGAAGGGGGAAGTTTGTTGTACCGGAGTTCACACAATTACTTGTAAATTTTCAAGTAAGATTCAGGAATATACATGGCATCGTTCAGCTGTGTATGCTCCTAATGACAGGAGAAAGAGGGAGGAAGTTTGGTGGGAGTTGGCAGGGGCAAGAGGGCTATTCTATGGACCATGGGTGGTATGTGGGGACTTCAATACTGTGAGGTACCCATCAGAGAAGAAGAACTGTTCCAGAGTCACAAGAGCAATGATGGAATTCTCAAGCTTTATTGAAGATATGGAATTGGTAGACTTACAATTAGCAGGAGGTGATTACACATGGAGGAAAGGGGACAAACATGTAATAGCAGCTAGATTGGATAGATTTCTGATCTCAGTTGAATGGAATGAAAACTTTAGGAACATAAAACAACAATTGATGTAGAGAGTTACATAAGATCACTCACCATTAATGCTCCAATGTGGTAGCTGGGAACCAGTAAAGTCATATTTCAAGTTTGAGAATTGGTGGTTGCAGATTGAAGGCTTCAAAGACAGAGTTGAAGATTGGTGGAAATCTTTCACCTGTGAAGGAAGGCCAGACTATATACTAGCCTTTAAACTCAAAGCTTTAAAGACAAAGCTCAAGGAATGGAGCAAAACTATGCAAGGCAATTTAGCACTAAGGAAAGCAAGTGTTCTCAATCAACTTGCAGAACTGGAAGAAGTACATGAACAAAGGAGCTTGACAGATGAGGAAATCTACACAAAAACATCATTGTCCATGGAGTTTGAGGAGATTGCAAATCAAGAAGAAATAGCATGGAGACAGAGATCCAGGGCTCTTTGGTTGAAAGAGGGAGATAGGAACACCAAGTATTTCCATAGAACAGCCAATGCACACAAGAGATATAATAACATAGATCAATTGATAGTGGAAGGGGAAACCTTACAGAGTCCTGAAGACATCAAGAGGGAGATAATCAGATTCTACAAGAAGGGGTACACAGGAGAAGAAGACTGGAGGCCAACAGGTTCCATCAGAAACAACCAAATGATCACTATAGAAGAAAACTTAATGCTGTAGAGTCCATTTGGAGAACAGGAAATATGGGATAGTGTTAAGGCATATGCAGGTGACAAAGCACCAGGACCTGATGGATTTTCAATGGCATTCTTCAATAAATGCTGGGATGTGGTAAAAAATGATGTGGTAGCAGCAGTCCAGAACTTTTATGATCAAGGAATCTTTGAAAAAAACATGAATGCTACATTTGTGGCTTTGATTCCTAAGAAGGTAGGGGCCAACAAACTAAGAGATTTCAGGCCTATCAGTCTGATAGGCAGCATATACAAGATTATCTCCAAGCTATTGACTGAGAGACTAAAAAAGGTGGTCAACAAATTGGTGGATCCTCAACAAATGGCCTTCATAAGAGGCAGACATATCATGGATGCTGTGCTAATAGCCAATGAATGTATAGACACAAGGAAGATAAGCAAAGAGCCTGGGATTCTATGTAAGCTGGATATTGAGAAAACATATGACCATCTGAATTGGAAATACCTTTTGGATACTCTGAGGAGGATGGGCTTTGGGGGAAAACGGATCAGCTGGATTAGATATTGCATTTCCATTGTAAGTTTCTCAGTACTTATCAATGGAGAACCAGTTGGATTCTTCCCTTCACAGAGGGGGTTGAGACAAGGTGATCCCCTCTCCCCCTTTTTATTCATAATTGCTATGGAAGGGTTAAATGACATGGTGAAAGTAGCTCAGACAAATAACTGGATAAGGGGCTTTAAAGTGAGTAATAGGGCTGATAGCAACATCAGGATTTCACATTTGCAGTATGCTGATGACACCTTGGTTTTTTGTGAAGCTGAAAGAGAACAAGTGAAAGTGCTAAGGGTGATTCTGATTCTTTTTGAAGCTGTTTCTGGGCTGCACATCAACTGGCATAAATGTTTCATTTACCTAGTCAATGAGGTTATGCAGCTACAAAGTCTGGTTATTATCCTTGGTGGGAAGGTGGGGGAATTGCCTACTGTATATCTGGGGATGCCATTGGGAGCTAAGAGCAAATCAAAAGATATTTGGAACAGTGTGCTGGAGAAATGTGAAAAGAAGCTAGCAAATTGGAAGAATCAATATCTATCTATGGGGGGTAGATTGATTCTGATTAATTCTGTGCTTGATGCCATACCTACATATATGATGTCTTTATTTTCAATTCCAGTCAATGTAGTGAAAAAAATTGATGCTCTAAGAAGGAATTTTCTATGGGAAGGTAACAGTGAGAAAAAGAAAATCTACTTGGTTAAATGGGGAGGCATGACTACAAGCAAGAAGGCAGGGGGACTGGGAATCAAAAATTTGAGAGTACAGAACCAGAGCCTGATGATGAAGTGACTGTGGAAATTTGCGGCAGATAAACAAACATTGTGGACAGGGGTTATTAGGGAGATATGAAAAGGAAGGAAATTGGACAACCAAGTCAGTGATAAGTCCATATGGAGTCAGTTTGTGGAGAGCAATCAGGAATCTATGGCCAAAAGTGATCAACAAAGCAAAGTTCAAAATAGGAAATGGTAGGAAGATCTCACTGTGGGAAGACAACTGGCTAGGACAAGGAACCTTGAAGGGACTCTTTCCTAACATACATACCTTGAATCAGCAACAACAAGCAACAATAGAAGAGGTATGGACAGGTCAGGGCTGGAATCTCACTTTCAGAAGAATGCTAAATGACTGGGAAATTGACAAAATTATCCAGTTTCATAATACTTTGGAGCAGTTCAGTGGTAGCAACTCTAATCAAGATCTTATTATATGGCAATGGAACAGGCAGGGAAGTTTTCAGTTAGGGAAGCTTACAGGGAATTCAACTTGTCCAACAATCAGGTAGGATGCTGGCCATACAAGGTTGCTTGCTTTACATGGCTATTGGCAAAAGAAGCAGTGTTAACACAAGACAACCTATCCAAAAGAGGATTCCAATTGTGTTCTAAATGTTATTTATGTGGAGAGAAGGCAGAGACAATTAACCATCTTCTTTTGCATTGCAAATTCACTATACAGATATGGAGAATTTTCATCAGCTTAAGGGGAATTTCATGGGCAATGCCGGGAAGAATCCTTGATATTCTAGCATGCTGGAGTAAAGAGGGCACACTTTCTAGAGATAAAAAGAGATGGAGAATTGTCCCAGCATGCATATGGTGGACAATTTGGGAAGAAAGGAATCAAAGATGTTTTGAAGACAAGTCCAGTAACATCCAGAAGATAAAGATGAAATGTTTAGCTCTTTTCTATTTTTGGTGTAAAGGAAAGTTTTTGGAGGATCATGAATTCATTTTAGATGTTTTAGAATCCTTGTGAGAAGACCAAGGATTACAAGTTGTTTGTACTTTTGTTTGAACACTTTTTTGTAATTATGGGTGACTTCACAATTTTAGTGAAGTCTTTATATTAATATACAAATATGTTACCTTCTCAAAAATTTTTTTTAGATGTCTTTTGACTGGTTTCTCCTCTGGCCTCTTCCAATTTATTAGTAAAAGATACCCTTATACCTATAAAGTATTGGATCTTACTGAGAAGGTCAGAGTATCTGAAAGGTCCGTGACAAAATCATATATCATATCTTACAAACTAGACCATGATTTACAACACATCTGATTTCAGTTGCAATGCTGACTGCTATAGGATGGATTTTGAGAAAACTTTGTCATTTTGTGAAAAAGGAGGAGAGATGGTGGAGGGTATGTACTATATCCTCGCTGAAGAGAATATTATTGTGGGTGTAAGAGCCTTTGGAGTTGGTAATCCTGTCAATCTTTCTAAGATTGTGATAACCTGAAAGACGACATTTCTCTCCATAGGAACTGAATGCTTTTTTCTTGGATGCCATTGCTAAAACACAGCTAATATTTTATGTTATACAAGGTCTCAATACTGTTGTCTGTATTGAAATGTCTTGCTTCTTGCAGGTTCTCATTTGTAGATTGATTGATAGGCCTTTACGTCCAACCATGCTTAAGGGATTCTACCATGAAACTCAAGTACTTTCTTGGGTAAGCTCATATGCTTTCTTGCAACCATCCTCTTAATATTTGTTGATGTTCCTTTGATAGTGTATCTGCTCGAATGTCTTGATGTGGCCTTTTAAGTTGCACTATCATTGTAACTTTGAAGGTATTAAGTTATGACGGTTTGCATCCACCAGATGCCTTGGCAGTTACGGCTGCTGGAATTGCTATGTAAGCAAATTCGCCTTGATGCTCTTCCATTCCTACGCTAGTAAAGGCCGGTTTACTGATGGTAATTTGAGGCAATTTCTTTCAAGTTGTGCAACAGGGCTTTGTCAGAAGTACCAAGTTCAGAAGTTATAGCAGGAGTTCGAATTGGTCTTATTGGTGATAAGTTCATCGTGAATCCAACCATTCAGGAAATGGAAAACTCGAAGTTGGATTTGTTACTAGCAGGCACAAACAATGCAATATTGATGATTGAGGTAGATTTTCTATCTAGTAAAAGCTTCATGATAAATGAGAGAGCATAAAAATTGAATATTCTTCTACCCAAGGAGCGTAGAGTGGTACCTGTTACGATCCGTTCTATCTAAGTGTTCAGTATGATGCGAGCCTAGACAGTGGTACAGGAGATGAGCACCTGCTTTCTGTAGGTCATAAATGCACTTTGCATAAAATCCAAAAAATTTGAATGGTTAACAAATAGCATATAATGAAATTGTCAGGCAGTTGCTGTGTGCATGAATATTCTACTAACACTATGTTCAGTTGTTTTTCTTCCTACGATATAGATGCCACTTGCCTATAGTAGTTAGTGTCATCAGATTCAGTACTAATTAATCTTGTTGTTACAGGGGTATTGTGATTTTCTTCCGGAGGACAAGTTGCTTGAAGCTGTAGAAGTTGGGCAGGTTTTTATCTTAAATTTATGTTACTGTTCTAAGTCCAGTTTATCAAATTGTTATCCTAGTTTGGTCCAATCAAAGTTATTTTTAATCTACTCAGTTTCTAGTAAGAGGCGCTCAAGTAGTAGTTGCTTGGAATAAAATGTTTATTCGTGTCTATGCTCTTAATTATTTGTCACGCCTTACAGCATGCTGTAATTTCACATTACTGTGAGGGTCCTCTTTTCCTTTTTTGCTCCTGAAATCATTTTCAATCATCCCTGTTTGGACTAATGGAAGCATGGCTATGATTCGGGCCTATGATCTTTTAGTATGTTATTGTAGTTATAATCATCCTTGTAATCTGAAAAATCTTTAGCCGATGCTCTATCGGAAATAACCTCTTTGCCCTCCCAGGATGAAGGTAAGGTCTGCGTACACACTATCCTCCTCAGATTCCAGAATTGCTGCTGCTAAATCTGCTTGAAATCTGAAAAATCTTTAGCCGATGCTCTATCGGAAATAACCTCTTTGCCCTCAGGATGAGGGTAAGGTCTGCGTACACACTATACTCTTCAGATTCCAGAATTGCTGCTGCTAAATCTGCTTGAAAACACTTATTATTTTGGCAGTATTTGAGAAGTATTATTCATCCTGCCAGTTCTACATGTTACAAGACCCATTGTCTCTGATGCCATATGTACAAGATTTATTGATTCAGGATGTTTTAACACTTAGTGCAACTACTAAGTAAACAGAGAATAAATTGTAGTTGTTTCTTGCTTGTATGGGAGAAAATTAAACAGTTTGAACAGAGAATAAAATAGACTTCTATCTATTTTTACTCATTTACTGAAATGATGGGTGTTTTATGGCTGTTCACTGGCTTGACAGAATGTGGGAAAATGTAGAAACAGCAAGGAATGATCAGAGATTAAGAGAACTAACTAGGGAACAAGAATGGAAGGAGAGGAAATAAGGGGGCCGAGGGATCACTTGAACATACGTTTTATAAATTCAGCTTGGTCCCAAGTATAAAGATTAGTGCCTATATAGGGAAAAGTTGAAACAAAACCATATCTAAATTGGTAATCTTAGGAGCTCTTTGTCGATTTGTGAGTAATTTCAAGATTACATTTATTTTGACATTATCTTGATGCAGTAATGAACAAACTTGAATGCAAGATTTTCAGGTGACCATCCCTGCTGCTTGAAATAAAGAAACAATCCAAATAATGGACAACTGTTAGGACAACTCTAAAAACTCACAAACTACCCATATTACTTGAGCAACATGGTTTTTAACTCCATTTTAGGCTTTCCAAGGCCACATTTCTTTTCTGGCCAGCATATTCCCAGTGATACAGATATGTTATCATTGCCAAACTTTGTAATTCAGGAGGTGTAGTGGGTGGCACTTAACCTTGGCTGAAATATTCACTTGGAAACGGCTTTCTGAAACTCAATCATCCCAAGCCTTTTCATGCCTCATAGTGACTAGTCATTGCCTAGCCTACACTAAATCCTTCAGTAACATCTTTTGCTTTTAGTCTCCTAATTGCCTGTTATCAGCCCTTTAAGATGCTATGCAGTAATATCACTGGTCTACAACGAGAGAGGAAGGCTAATCTGTTTTTCAAGTGATGTTCTGAAAATCATGCCATGGACCCATTTTCATCGGTTCATTTGTAAATTATCCTTTTACTTCTCTCTCTTACAGTTGAAATTTTGCTTTGCTTCTAGTATAGATGATTTAGCAGTAAACAGTGATTTTTTTACATTTATATGATAAATACCAGTTAACAAAATGTAACTGAAGAAGTTGCAGCAAGTAAGCCATTTTCTTTTCAACTTTGTCTTATCAGGATGCTGTGCGGGGTATCTGCAAGGAGGTGGAAGCTTTAGTGCAAAAATGTGGAAAGCCAAAAATGCTTGATGCAATCAAATTACCTCCTAAAGAGCTGTATAAGCTAGTCGAAGTATGTATGATCTCTTTAATAATGAAACATACCACCTACTAAGTGTTGTTTATTTCTGTCCTACAACATCTAAAGTATATAAATAGGACAGTTATGCATCTCATCAACATTCTTGTCCAAACTGATGGGTTGGGGTCCTCTGCATTAAGCACACTCGAGAGAGTGCCTAACGTGTCTTCTCCATTATCTTTGTCAATTCTTCTGCCAGAAATAGGAGAAGGAATAAATATATTAGTCGTATGATGATAATGGAATACAAGGCACTCCTATTTGAAGGCATGAGATACAATGAGGGACTTACTTCATACTGGCATGATGACTTACTTCATACTAAGACTTAACACTATTCTAACCGATGAGGACTTATTTCAAACCAAAACTTACCACTATTCTGACATTAATTCTTTGCATTCTAACGTGCCCTGTCAAACCCAAAGTGAGGAAACCTGCTTAAGGTTGAAAATTTGGCTGAATAAACCCTGGTCATCAGAATCTTGTCAGAAAAGTTTGCTATTGGAAAATGGTGGGAAAGAGCCGTGTCGCTGCCCGAACAGTCACCAAAAATAGGCGTGGTGTGACTGGAACAGTGATGTGAAAAAGGTGCTGATCCATTGGAATGGATCGCAAAGAGACACGATACTGTCCAAAAGGTCGTTGAAGAGAGGCATTGGGTGAAGTGCGATGTCACTGAAGAAAGGAAGGTGCCAATCGCCTGAAAGACAAGAGGGGCATCTTTCGCCAAAAGAGCAGAGAAAATAAAGAAAAATATTACACGGGCAAACGACATAAGGCATGCCCTCCAGCATGCCAAAGCTACTTAATTCTCTACCTCTACTAAGATCATACAAGCTCTGATATCATGCTGAATTGTGTGATTTTCTCACCTAAAAGTTTAAACTATTAGAATCATTTATTTATTTATTAGGTCTACAGGTCTTCTCACGAGTGGGCCTGATTTTTTTCGCTGGCTAAGCACGTGAAAATATTTGTTGGTGATGGATGGCAATCGAACTCAAACTGAGGACAGTTGCGTGCTTTCATACTGTGTGAGATAAGAGAAGCAAAGAGATATTGATTACTTGATGATAATGGAATACGAGACACCTACTTAAAGATGTGAGATGCTATCCCTGTTTAATATCTAACCAGTGTCTGACTAACTTCGTACTAAACTAGTCTTATATTTAACCCAATGAGAGACTAACTTCATACTAACATTCTGGCAGCTTCACTACACTGTCCAACAAAATGGAACAGGATTCATGGATTATGACGACTATTCCTTATTTGTCTTCTTCAGAGATCTTACTGTGTACAACAAGTCTGACAGCTTTTCATAAGAATTGCAAAATTGTCAGTATACAGTATGAGTAGCTTGTTGACACTTGATAGTTTCTCTACCCACCTTTAGATAGCAATCAGTGAGTTATCCTACAAAACATCAATGTGATGCCTCGATAAAAAAAGCGGTGGTCGGAGGTCCATAACCTTGATGTCTCTTGTTTATAAAAGTACCATAATTATTCACACAGAAAATTTGAAAACACACACCAAGTAAACTCTTGTCCAAATGCTCTCTCTGCCTTGATGTGAAAATCCAGGTTCCACTCTCCATGGACGGATCATTTGCTTTTTGAAAGGTCTCCAAAGAAAAGGAAATTATCCACACAACTGTTAGAGAAAGAGGCTTACTGTGAGCTTTTCTAAGGACGTTCCTTATTTCAAGAGAAGTGCCTCCGGTGATAGTGGAGATGATGTAGGGGCATATTGCAGAGCCGGGCCAAGTTCCCAGTGTTCGCACTCGGCTTGGTTATTGTACTTTAAGCTTGAATATCATTGGAGCCATACTGGAAGCACTAGTTCGCGTTCACATTAATTTTTCTAAAGCTCGACTCGATTCTTTTAATAAACTAGTCAATCTTAAGCTTGACAAATGCCCGGTTGTGAGCTTTTTTATAAGTTCATCTTTTTTGTTCTCCTAATTTAATTTGTAAAAAGTGAGTCACTTTATGCCAGTGTTGTAAAAAGCGAGCGCTTCCTCGCTTAAAGCGAGAAGCGAAGCGAGGCGAGGCATCTGGCGCTTCTCTTAACTGAAGCGTAGCAGATTTACAAAAGCGTTCGCTTCTCCTAGAGAAGCGATGAAGCGATGCGAAGCGAGCGCTTCTCTTTATAATTAGGCTGCCAACGTATTTAATTAAAGAGGCTGTCTTTTTTTAAAAGGCCATCGAGCCAAGATCATCAAGTTTGGTCCCAGGTATGTGATTTTTTCTTGCTCCTTTTTCTTTTTCTTTCACTGTTTCAGTGTCCAAATAGCAGCAAAATGCTGGCGAAATTTCCCCTTCAGTTCTTCTTTCTCATTCTTCTCCTCTTCTTCTTCATTTTCTTGCACTGTTTCAGTGATAAAAATGCTGAAATGCTGCCCATTTCTTCGTTTCAGTTATACTGCTCTTTTTCGTAGTTGATGAAGAAGAAGTTGAAGAAGATGAGAGCAATATAATAATGATAGTGGAATACAAGAATTTGACAATCTTGTAGAAGAATAGGATGCTCATTTTGTGCTTTAATTGATGCTACTCTTTAGTTTTTACGTTGAAGTATTGAACATTTGCTTACAGTTACATGTGTTGTCTATGCAGTATTTATTTTAATATTTTTTTTAAAATTCCGCTTCACTTCAAAAAAGCGAGCGTTTTGTTTCTCGTTTCTCGCTTTAAGCGAAAAGGGGCTCGTCGCTTTTCCTCGCTTCACACTCTTCACAACACTGCTTTATGCATTTTTTGCATAGGAGATTTAATCCATTACGCTCACAATTCCATTTCATCTAATGTCATGTCTCAGTTTTGATAACCGTGAATATCTGCATTGGCAAAATATTTGTTCACTAATCTATTTGGATGTAGTTCTCGCAGTATGTCTGACTTGCTCTTTCCATTCTTCAGATTAGCTACGCTTGCTAATATATTTCCACTAGTTTATTTATTTATAAACGATTTGTTATTCGGTTATTTGAACACTCAAGTCATTGTGATTACAGTTATATATGTGTGCTAAATTCATTTCCAGGAAATTTCTGGCAATGAGTTGGTGGAAGTGCTACAAATTAAAAACAAGATTCCAAGAAGAAAGGCATTATCATCATTGGAAGAAAATGTTATAAGCATATTGTCTGAGAAGGGTTATATCAGTACAATGGAAGCTTTTGGGTCTACTGAAACATTACCAGATTTGCTAGAGGAGGACGAGGATGAAGAAGTGGTTGTTGATGGTGAAGTTGATGAGGGTGATGTTCACATAAAGCCAGTTGCAAGGAAGACTGTCCCATTGGTATTGTCTCGACTTAATCTTTATTAATTTCTGACCTTCATCCTTTTCAAAAACACTTTTTTTGTTGATGAGTCATTCCATCCAGTCATATCAGCCACCACAACTTTTGATTGGATGGATGTGTATCACTGCTCTAAAGTAGTTTTATGCATATGCAAAGATGTACCGTCACATATACATTGGGTGACTTGATAGCTCATAGACCTCCATAACAGTTTTAACACTGATACTGAAGTTTAAATTGAAGCGCTCTATGTTTCCTTCAATACAACAACAACAACAAACCCAGTAGTTTCCCACAAGTGGGGTCTGGGGAGGGTAAGGTGTACGCAGCCTTACCCCTACCCCTACCCCTGGAAGGGCAGAGAGGCTGTTTCCAATAGACGAGAACGACTGAAAAAGAACAAGTAATTGCAACAAGTAGGAATAACAACAAGATGAAATAAGATCGAATCCAAGAATGCAGTCAAACTCTAGGTAGTAATAGCCATCTATGAATAAAAGATATCATACTAACACTAATGCTAGCGAATTGAGTAAGACAAAGAGAAACGCTCGACTACCTACGAACCTTCTACCCTAATCTTTGACCTCCACACCCTCCTGTCTAGGGCCATGTCCCCAGTCAGCTCCAACCGCGCCATATTCCGCCTAATAACTTCTCCCCAAGACTTCTTAGGCCTACCTCTACCCCTCCTGCTGCCCACCGAGGCTAACCGCTCGCACCTTCTAACTGGGGCTTCTATACTTCTCTTCTTAACATGCCCGAACCATCTCAGCCTCGCCTCCCGCATCTTATCCTCCACAGGGGCCACTCTCACCTTTTCCTGAATAACTTCATTCCTAATCTTATCCAACTGGGTTTGCCCACACATCCACCTCAACATCCTCATCTCAGCTACTTTTAGCTTCTGGGTATGAGAGTTCTTGACCGGCCAACACTCTGCTCCATACAACAAAGTCGGTCTAACTACAACCTTGTAGAACTTGCCTTTAAGTCTCAGCGGCACATTCTTATCACACAAGACACAGGAAGCGAACCTCCACTTCATCCATCCTGCTCCAATACGATGCGTGACATCTTCATCAATCTCCCCGTTACCTTGTATTATAGATTCAAGATACTTGAAATTAGCTCTCTTGGGGACGACTTGCGTATCAAGCCTCACCTCAATATCCCCTTCCTGGGTACCGTTGCTGAACTTGCACTCCACGTATTCTGTCTTGGTCCTGCTCAACTTAAAACCCTTAGACTCTAGGGTGTGCCTCCAAACTTCCAGCCTCTCGTTAACACCACCCTGTGTCTCGTCAATTAAAACTATGTCATCCGCAAATAACCTACACCATGGCACCTTACCTCAGTGTTGTCAAAGGCGCGCTTAAAGCGCGCTTAAGCCCTGAAGTGAGGCTCAAAACACGTTTAGCGCTTCTCCTCACTTTGTGTGCGCTTTAGTGTCGCATCAAAGCTCTAAGGCACACTTTTCCTTGCCAATGAGTGTAATCATGAAAAGGCGACCTTAAACAATTGATATTTCACTTTATCGTGATTTTTATTTTCAATTTCTTTGTCCATATATTTGTTATTCATGCTTATAATGATTAGTCTTGGACTACATGCATATTTTTACTTTTTCTCCCGTTGCACCTTTCTTCATTAAAGCCCACGCTTTATATACGCTTTGCGCTTAAAGCCCCAACGGACCTTAGAGCTTTTTTGCGCTTTTCGCCTTTGATAACACTGCCTCACCTTGAATGTGTCTCGTCAAAGCGTCCATCGCCAAGGAAAATAGGAATGGACTAAGAGCTGATCCCTGGTGCAACCCCATCATAACCGGAAAGTGTTCCGAGTCTCTTATGTTTCTTCTAATAAAGTAACATAATCACACATGACTGAGTTGGGGGTTTGGAGCTGCTCTTTTTTTGATGCTTCATGGTTTTCAGTGTAAGGAGGACAAGAACAATGTATCAACGTAGGCAAAGGTTTAATAGTGGCTTGTAGGACAAAAAAGAAAAGGCGGAAAGGAGCTGCAGCCTGGATGGAATTTTGTGGTTGTGTGAAAAATTATTATTTTGGCTTTTGGGAAGGAAGAAACAAAAACGGAAATACTGTTTTCTTTATGCCCTGAGCAGCTCATTAGTCTAAGTCTCATCTCCACTCGCGCCTAAAAAAACCACCAGCTTCCTTCACAATAGAGTCAATAAAGGAACATTAAGTTAACTCTATTGGATTTATGGCGGACATACTATAAATCAGGAGGATTTAAGTAGTACCCCTAATTCCAAATATTCCAGAAAATTGTAAATCTGGAAAGAGAAATAGACGATATTGATCGGATTATGACTTAAAGGTGTAAAACAATTGAATTTCCTGGCTACAAATAAAGGAACCACATCTAAATTTGAACTTCCTTTGGATTTGCCTTCATTTTGCTTCATGGAGGCATGAATCCTTATAGGATGTTTGCCCTATTAATGAACTTTGGTAATTCTACTCAACTGTCAGTTAGATGGTGGAATCTACTTCTTTCGACCCTTTTTTTTATTAAGTTAGTAATAAATATTTGGACAGACCATTTTAACAGTAAATAAGATATCATATAAGTTAAAATGTTGAGAAGTGACAAACTTTTTACAGATTCACTCTTTTGACAAGACTAGTAGAAAGCCCGGGCCCAACTTAAACAACCTATATGTAAAAATAGCACGGGCTAGCCAGTTTTCGGGCTGATAATTGAAAAATAGTCAGCGTTTGCAAAGTCATTGAAAAATAGCTATTATTTTGCTGCAACACGGACCGGTCCAGCATAATATACTGGAGATTGGTGCACCTGTGTATGAACTTCCAGCATATTATGCTGGAACTCCAACACGCGGAAAGTTGCAGCATAATATACTGGAGATTGGAGCACCTGTGTATGAACTTCCAGCATATTATGCTGGACCGGTATATTATACTGGAACTCCAGTATATTATGCTGGAGTTCCTGTATATTATACTGAAACTCCAGTATATTATGCTAGAATATTTTTCGGATTTTGAACAGTGTTTTCGTTCAGATTTATCTTTACATGAAAAGTGGGTAAATTTCGATTACTTTTGAAATTGTGGCTATTTTTCAATTATCACTTGTAAATCTGGCTATTTTTGAATTTCTCCCAACCTATATTGTTTCCTTATACATTCTGTTACTTCTGATTCTCACCGTAACATTTTGACTTTCTCTTGTGAGAGGTCTCACTAATTTTTCAAATTCTTTGTCATGATTTTTTGTAAGTACCAAATAGAAATATAAAAAATACTACTATTATAAACAAATGTACAGTGACAATATCTGCAAGGACCCAAAAGCAAATCGCACAAAGTGTTTTATCCTTTGACTTTTAAATTTCAGTTTTCAATATCATATAAGTTCGTCAAAAAGTAGATCGAGCTGAGCGTGTTGTGAACTAAATCATCAGAAAGGAAAGACCCTGTGTCCAGAAAGTGCGAGCCTAGTTGATCCGCACGGAGTTAAAAGGAGTATCCATGAAAATATTTATGATCATTTTTATTTCAAAAATGGGTTGATAACAGTATTGCTGAAGCAGAATCAAGTGAAACTTTATTAAAATATTAGTAGATGAATAGCATAACTTATGTAAATACAAGTATTGATAATGAGCGAAGGAGCATACCAATTTACATTTGATAACTTTAGTGAACTTGGTAAAACTATATCTCAAGAAGGCTGCCCAAGATTAAGTACATGCCACCTCTATTAATATTTGCAGATGTAAGCCATTTCTTCTCAGAAAAAGTATGTAATTGTATCTCGCAAAGAACTCGTCGTATAGAGAACACATACTAACAGGAAAACTCTATCAATATGAGAAGACTATCCATAAGTACGTTAGTCAACATATTCAAAGACACTTTTTTTTTTCCTAAATCAAGTTACAATCAGAGGACTCTTAGTTTACTGGAAAATTATACTTTTAACTCCTTTGTTTCACCTTTCACCATTCCTTCTT